GTATGCCACCATGGCAGGAACTTAATTCTTTTTTTTTTTTTCTTTTCTCTTTAGTATGATAGAGTGGGGCTATATCAAATTGAGAAAAAATTTTCTATTTATTGCCATGGTGGCATGTCATGTAGGATAGAGATATTGATGCATCGTTGATTAGGATGGAGATAACGTCTAACTAACAACGTGCACTTTAAAACCATTAAATAAAGAGAATTTTTATTGAATCCTATTGTTGAGGGGCTAATACCTTTAAGTTTTTAGGTAGGAGCTAATAACCTTAAAATCTATGGCATTGGTGTTAAAAATAAAATTTACTCTTATAATTTTGTATACAAATTAATAGTAAAAAGATGCAATAAATAAAAACCCTAAGACAATTAGCCTTAAAATGGATCTTAATTAATTAGAATTAAATAATGTCAATTAGTTATCTTAATTAGTTCAAGTCTTGATTAATTTTGGATCAATTCAAACTAATCTAAATTAATGTTAATTTAAATTAATTAAAGTAATTAAAACAAAACAACTTATGAGGTAAGTTAATCCATTATTAGAACTTTAACAGTTGGGCCTGTTGGGCTTAAGGAGAGTTTGGCCTATTTTAATTTATTCTTCTTTTATGCCTTTTTTTTTTAAAACTCAATAAGGAATCGGACCAGGCCCAAAACTTAAAACAAAATGAAATAAGACAAGAGGCCCACAAGAAGAGTCGGGTCGAATCGACCAGACTAACAGACCCGGATAAGAAACCGGGTCAAAACGGATTAAACAGAGAAGGTGTGATCGGCTTTCACGTGGCGGGAGTCCGGTCCAATTCCGGCGGATTCTGGGCAACTTCCCAGATGCCGGCGGTCTTGAAAAATTTCAAAAAAAAGGGCAAAAACCCAGGTAAATGGCAACTTTTTGGTATTTTTGTCCAACAGAAACAGCCCTCGGCCAGGAATCTGTAGAACCAGCCCAAAAATGCAGTTTCCGATGTCTCAAAAAAATGGGCCAGAGATTCCAGATTCAATTTTGAAGCCAGGATAGAGGAACCAAACGTTGGGTTGGTCCTCCAAGGCATTTATGCACAGTTTGACCCAAAAAAAAAAAAAAATCACAATCACAGCAACCACCATGTAAATCAACTAAAAATTATATTCAAAACACATTCAACACCAGTAAACCCAGACATTTCAATAAATCTACCAAATTGCATGGAAATTTCTGAAAAAGAAAAGTAAATCCGTACCTGGAATGGTTGTAGTTCTTCTTTTTCTTCCCTGTTCTTACCCACGAGCAGAAACACAAGGTAACAGCCACCTATTTATACAAACGGAGCGGAACAATACAAATAGGTCTATTTAAATAAAATAGGTACCATATACACCAACACACACACACTCACTCCCTCTGCGTGTTTTCGTTACTTGTTTGTTTTGTGTGTGTGTATACATATGTTGCACCGGCAGCAGCAGCAGCAAAAGCTGTACCTGCGCAGCAGGCCCAGGAAATTATCGTTATTTTGAAACTGAAATACAGGGAGTACTGCCAAGCAGAGGGAGAGAAATATGGGGTTGTGACTTAATAGGGTACCATCGTCAAGTAATGGAGTTTTGCATATAAGAAGAAGAGTTTTTTGTCCTGGGTTTGAAAGGGAGAAGGTAGTGTTTGTAGTGGGGGAGATGGCTTCTCTATATCTTGTGGACATATATACTAGCATGGTTTCCTTCATGCACAAACATGGCTGCAATGACCAACGAACAGTGGGCGTTTGCATTTGGCATCTTAGGTAAATGCTAAGTACCAATATTTCTTATTATTCTCGAGAGTCATCTTCTATATACAGATCCTTACTTTAGCTGTGTATGTTCTTTGGTCATTGCACCATGTTTGTGCAATGGAAGAATGATAATAGTTTGGGGGCTATGAAAGTACAAAGAAGGATAAGTGCTTTTTCTTCCTCTCTCTCAGCGGCTTTATATATACACACTTTGTGTGGACATATATTGTTTGGCGTAATCAAGAGAAAGATTTCATTTTTCTTTGATGAAATAAATGCGAGTGTCATACTTGGTCCCACGAGGTGGAAAAATTAAGGTGAGAGAGTGTGGAAAACGCCAGTCCAACTATCCTAAAATTATTTTTTATTAATTTTGTCATTTATATGATTTTTCAAACAATAATACAATTAATATACTTGTTAATTATTAAGTGATATAAAAAAATATAAAAATTAATATAAATTTTAACAATAATAATATGAGTATAATTTTAATAATTAATTAATAAAATTAAAAAATATGGTTTTAATTAATAATTAATATAATCTTATAAGTGATTATAAGATTCTTCTTCAAAAAAATATGGTTTTTCTAACTTTCTTAAAAGGGGAGGAGGGGAAATCTCTACCCTTCGCCTTCAGTGGTGGCGTAAGGAGGATTGTATGATGCCAATCCATTCACCCAGTACAAAAGTGGGTGGGTGTTTAGTTGTAGTCAGAAGAGAGATGGTTATTGACAGTGATGTGTGGGACATGTGGGTTAGGGTTTCCTTCCCCGCCACTCCTTGGGGCTTCGCCTTCAATGGTTGGTGGCTTGACAATCGAGGTTCATCATACCCATTTCTTTCCCATTTGTAGAATGTTTTTGAGTTCTGTCCATTTTAGCAGAGGCAACGAGGTCTGATCTATTTATTTGTTTCCTATCTTATGACATGGTCAGCTTGCACCCTCTATTTGCACATGAGATATTATTGCTTTTTATGGTTAATATTTTTAAAAATTTTTATTATCAGTTAACATTTTTTTAAATTTAAAATTTATAAAAAAAATCAAAATTAAAGTTCATGTTGCATGTAAATCAAAGTGTAAATAAGAGTTTAGTTGTAATTGTTTGAGGTTTTTTTTTTTCTTTGTAGGTTTTAGATTTTATAAAGTATTGATAAAGAGTAAAAATTTTAAAAGATATTAATGATGGAAAATAATAACATTTAAAGTGAAAATAAAGAATTTGAGATTTACAGTTAAAACTTAAAACAACTGGTATTGTAATTGTATGGAGAAATGATTTTTTTAGTTGTTTTTGGACTAGTATTCTTCTTTGAAAGTGATGTAGTGCAGTTCATGCTTTTTTTTAATTAAATAAAATATTAAATATAATTTAAGTATTTTTAATCTATGACTTAAAGATATATATTAAAAATCTTTAAAAAATAAAAAATAATATTTAATTTATCAATTATCTAATTAAATTTATTTATATAATATTAATTTTAAAATTAATATTTATTTTTATATTTTTTTAGATAAATTTATTTAAAAAATATTCTTAATATATACTTTTAAAGCACAAATTAAAAATATCCATATTACTTATATATCATCTGTGCGGCAGGAAATTATCAGCTTTTAAGAAGGGTGGTTAAAACTTTAAAATCCACTTGTTTTCGATTTCAGCTATAAGCCCATTACTCCGAGGGCCCAACCCAGAGCCCTCGTTTTCCCATGTCAAAAATCAAGATCCACAAGCATTGTTGCATTAAGCAGCAGCGTTAGCCAACAGCGTTGAGAATAGGTGTCTGGAATTGCGACGCACTTAAATGAATTGGATGTATATTTACTTTAAGAAATACCTGAAATTAATGAAAAAAAAAATTTGGATTATTTTTTAAATCAATGCTTAAATATAAAGGGGTGTTTGTTTTGATTTTATAAAAATAATTATTAATTATTAGTTATAATTAAATGAATTAAATATTATAAATTATAAATAATAAAAATTATTACTTA